AATAATCGTATTGTTGAATGGAAATGTAATGCAAAGAAAGGACAAATGATTGCAGGTGCAAATAAACAAGGAAATCGTATGGATCGATTGAATTGTCCAACAGACGTTATTTTTGATCAACAAAATCATTCGATCATCATTGCTGATTCTTCGAACAGACGAGTGATTCAATGGTTGAATCAAAATCAACAAATTCTCATTCAGAATATTGACTGTTGTCACTTGGCTATGGATAAATATGGATTTTTGTATGCTTCTAATTGGAAGAAGGATGAAGTGAAACGATGGAAATTGGGCGAATATAACAATGAAGGAATTGTAGTGGCTGGTGGAAATGGACAAGGAGATCAACTCAATCAACTAGATACTCCAGGTTTTATCTTTGTTGATGAAGATCAATCTGTTTATGTATCGGATTCTTACAATAGTCGTGTGATGAAATGGAGAAAAGATGCAAAAGAAGGAACAGTTGTGGCTGGAGGAAATGATTTTGGAGCAAATCTTAATCAATTGTCTTCACCTGAAGGAGTAATTATTGATGATTTGGGTCGAATCTATGTGGCAGATTATTGGAATCATCGAGTAATGCGTTGGTGTGAAGGAGAAGAAGAAGGTGAAATTGTTGTTGGTGGTAACGGCGAAGGAAACCAATCAAATCAATTAAATCGTCCCCGCGGTTTATCTTTTGATGATGAAGGAGATCTTTTTGTTGCTGATTCGGGAAATGATCGAATTGAAAAATTTGGAATAATATTGTGAACGAAATTTTGATTTTGAAACAAAGAAAAGAAATTTTTTGATAAATAAGAAACCGAATAAATTTTGAAGAAGGAGAAATTTATTAATAAGAAAATGCAGAAGAAAATTGTTTGTGATTGTTTTCGTTTAAAATTGAATTTAATTTGATAGTTTTGATTAGAAAATTCAAATAAATAAATGTTAAATTCTTCGTATCTTGTTGATTTTTGTTGCATTTAACCGAAGAAAAGAAAAGAAATATTTTTTGAAAACTTAATAATAAAAATCAAATTGAAATTAAATTTTGTTGAATAAGAGAAATGTTGAAAAGATTTTCTTGAGTAAATTAATAAATTTTATCATTTGAAAATGAAATTATCTTTGATTATAACTATGACATATAATTTTGTTTTATCTTTGTATGCTTTTTTTGTTTAGAATTTGATATTAATTAGAAAATATTTCATTTAGAAAATCATTGAACAAATGATAAATGTAAAATAAAAGAATTCATTGAAATGTAATTAGAAATTTATTTTTTACTTTTAGATTTTTTCAAAATTAATTCAAATTAGTTGAAAATCTTTAGTAAATAAAATGTATTTTTAGGTTTTTCTTCTCCAAAGAAAAACATTATATAAAATGTTTTGATTTGTTTGAATGATGAAATGATAATACAAAGAACTATTAAATAGATTTTTAAAACTTAATAAATAAATATGAAGAATAATTTGTTTATATAAAGATTATATGAATAGATTATAATTAAATGGAATATTTTTGTTATTAAATGAATAAAGATTATTTTGTATAATTTCAAAATAGAATTCTATTAGAAACTGAAGAATAGATAATCTCTAAGAAAAATTATATGATTAATCTTAAATCTACAGATTATTTATTAAATTCCCTTTTGTTTCCTTAACTGAACAAATCTCTAAATCATATTTTATTTAAATTCATTTGAAAAATATTACAATTAGTAGATTATTGATTTATATGTCATGTAACAATTGAATAATTTTTAGAAATAATATCAGTATTCAGTTATTATTCAACAGAATAAGTTTCCAAAAGAAAGAATTCATCTTTGATCTTTCCAGTTAGAAGATTATTTTATATATTTTTTTGTTTACATAAATTTTCTTCCAATATTAAATTTTTTTCATTTTAAATGTGATTTATTGTAAGAAGAATTCAAATAATAATCTACAATGGAGTACAAAAATGAGTGTTATTAAATTTCTCAAAGTTCTTGTCGTCAGTGGAAGTGCAATGTGTTGATTATTATATTATATAGACACTGTACTGTACAAATATACTAATGACTAAAAGTTGCGCTCTCTCTCTCTAAGTTTATACATTCGTAAAAATTCATTAAATGATCTCATAGTATAATTCAACTAGATTCAGACTTGTGTCATCATAGATTAACAAATAATAATTTCATCTATACAAAGCTGATGTGTCATTTTCTTAGTCTCAGTGTCATGTATAGAGTCAGTATTGGATAGAATGTAGAACATATGTGCAAATAGTAAAAAAATAAAAGAAAGAATAAAACTGGAATCAATGACTTGATGATTAATATTGCCCAGGATGATGGTTCTTGAAGCAAGATTCCATGAATTTTCGGTGAAATCCCTGAGGAAACTCGCCATTTCTGGGCTGAATTCGCTCGGAAAATGCCAGGAATCCGATGGAGAAGTGAGATAACCGTATCTGGTTGCCGGTTTTGACATGTTCCTGTCGGTTCCGACCCAAACCAGATAAATCCGATCACCGGATCCATTCAATGGGAATACTGCTTTCATGAAATCTCCAGAATATCATGGAACCGACCGTTTCTGTATCGGATTGTTCGACCTGGGTGAGTCTACGAATTTGTTTTTTAACTACAAAACTATATACCTTCAATACATTGACTTTTCCATAGATTGAATAATGTTAATCGAAGTAAAAGTTGAATTCTCTCTTGTCGAGCGTCATCCATAGAATATCACTTTCTTAATTACTAGTCAGATATAGTGGTCGTGGTTATCTTAATATTATTTCTTTTCTTTCTTATTTTAAATATTATCTCCTTTATAACACGTCTAGCCAGTAGAAAATTCGTCTTTATCTCAGTTTATCCTTAATAATCAAAAATTTAACAAACAATTTATTTATTTTTAAATTTATTTAAAATTAATATAAAATTTTTAGCATGGATATACAAAATATTCATGGTCATACCGAAGATGATCACGATGATTATAATGATGATGATAAACAAGAAGTAATAAAATTTTGAACATTTCACAAAAAATTTTGAATTTTAAATTTAGGATTTAAAAAAAGAGATTCGTAGAATAACAAAAGAAGTAAACTAAAAAAAATAAAATATAAAAATATTTGCTGTTTTTCTTATATTTTAAAGATCAATCGGCTAAACATGTCAAAAGGTGAAAAAATGCAAGAAGTGAAGGAAAAAGAACAAGAACTAAAAAGAATGAGGCAAAACAAAGAAAATTGCAATAAACAAAAAATGAAACAAATACAAAACGAGATTAATGAACTAATCGAAGACGAAAGCAATCTCGATGCAAATATTAGAGCATTAAAACATAATTATGGTAAAGGAAAACAAATTTTAATGCCATTAATGTTTTTTATTTTTTGTTTTTAGATGAATTACAAAAACAACTTGAAACAATACAAGAACAACCCAAAACAACACAAGAACAACTCAAAAATATTTGCAATGATTAGAATTAGCAAACACATGCATTAAAGAACTCATTTTTTTCTCAACTCTGAATCAGACTTTTCACATTTTAAACTTAAACGTTAAATACATTTTTAAGCAGTAACTTACACTTCTCACACAAAAATAAATTCTCGACCTTATTAGTTTTGATTATGTACAGCTATTCCAAACTCAACGAGATTCTCTAACTGTCTGCCTTTTATGTATATATATATAGAAAGTGAAATTGATAAATAGATAGACCTTACACCGTTATACTTTTTTCGCCTTACTTCCTTATAGTCTTGAACTTTGGTAATTTTGTCTTCTATTAGCCTTACACCATTATTACTTTACTCATGGTAACATTTCCTCTTACCCATTTCTAGCTTCACTTTTTATTATCTTATCAATTTATAGTCTTGTTCAGTCTTTAAAATTTACCTTAGAACAGATACAGAGACGCGCACTCAACATTTCTTTATATCTTCATTTTAGACTGTTGTTCACAATACAAGATTGACTTTACTTTTCAATTTATTGAGTAAATGATAACAAAAATACATTTATAATAAAGGAAAGTAAGCATAGAAATCTTTTGTATGTGCTAATTGTGTAAACGTAATTAATCGTTGTATGTTAGCACAGTTGCGTCGAGTATCTTCTCTTGTAAAATCTTTTGTAACTTTTTGTAAATCATTATGAACAAATTTCAATTGAGTAAGACATGGTACATATGCCTTTTTTTCATTTAAAAATTCCTCTAGATAATCGCCATGCGCACACAGCACATCAAGTGAAATAAGATGAGGATATTCAGCAATTGTATATAATTGATTATTGTCAGCTGAAAATGTGTTATGATCAAATGATGATTGTGACTTAATAATATTAAAAAGACGCAAATTCTTTAATAATGGAAAATTTCGAGCAATTCGAATGAAATATTCACGATTGAATGGAACGATATCTTGTATCAGCAGATATGTAACATAACTACATTTAGTATCTGGAAATGTATAACCAATATCTTCGAGGAAATTGAATTGAAAAGGAAGTGAGAAAATAGAACATACAATTTCTTCTCTATTAGCATGATGAACAGTTTTAACAATTGGTTGTTGTTTGATATTTGTATAAGTTTGTTGAATATCTTTATTAGATGCATTATGTTCTAAATCAGCAATCTTCGCACTTGTAAAAATATAGAACGTGAATGAATAAAGTCGTGGCATATAAGTAACAATTTCATTTTCAATATGAGTATCATCAATAAGTCTATTTCGATCGTTAATACGCAAATATAAGGTTAGTTTTTCTAGACATGACATACGACGAAGAAGAGGTAAAATTTTATAATCGTATACGTCAATAAAGTCATAACATTTAAATGAAAAACATTTCAAATTAGGTACATTTTCCTAAGATAAGAATAAAATATATTTCTTAGTTAAACTAAAAAGAAATTATATACGACATTTAGTAAGGGTACAGGTACAGGTGTAGGTGTAAGACAAAAATAACACTCACATCCATACCCTCAATATGATTGAACCATTGACATTTCAGTCATCTTTTTTAAAGAAATTAATGGTTGATTTAGTTTTAATTCATTTAGTATGTGCAAGAACTTACTTTACTTAGTATAATCAATCTTAGATATGTTTATCATTGACTCTGGTTATATGTAAACTGAACACACAAACATTCTATATATTTAGATCAGTAATTCACATATGTACTATTAATATAGGGAAGAAGTATATATAAAAGACACTTTATGATTTTATGAGTTTTGTTTACTTTTTGCTCTGAAATAGAAGCATGAACTCTTTCAAGATTTTATCTAAATTGTAATATATCTATAAGCATAAATGAAATCTATATCAGTTAAATACGTTATCATATACGTATTCAATGACTTTAATATTCTTATTAGTCTTTTTCTATAAAAATTACCATATTGTGAATTATTGTTGTAGAGTTTGTGAGAGAAATTTCAACAATTAATATGGTTAATTGTTTAAGTCGACCATCAAGTAAATAAAGACAATCGTCAAGAGTTCTTACTGTAATATTTAAATAAGTAAGAATTGAAGAGGAAAATGTATTTGATGGTAAATGACAAAGTGATAAAGCTGGATATGATGTTCCAGTAACAGTTAAATGTGTTAAGTTTTCACAAAAATTCAAAATATGTACATAAACATTTCTTGTATAATTTTCCAATGATACTGCCATATTGTACTTATCGACATTTACAAGAATAAGGTCTGTAATTTGCTGTTGAAATATATACTGAAGACGTGATTCATCTAAATGAAAATAAAAATAAAGTTATTTTAGTCTGCTTAATTTAAATATTCTTCTATTCTTGTACTTACTTGTAAAATAACATGAAACGATTTCTTTTTTGAAATTAAAAAGTTTGAGTTTGGTTAGATTTGGATAGTCGGTTGCAAGCAGAATACGTTCCATTAAAATTGGTTTAAGAATAAAATATTTCACATTGTCATGAATTTTTGGCAATATATCGTTACAAAATCGATCAAGTTTCAAACAATCATTTGAAGAAAGATTATCAATAGATAGAAAATTAAGAACGTTGCCGAAGATATTTTCTTGTGCTAGACTGTTAAGTCTATGATTATTTATGTTCAATAAGAAATAAAGAACATCAGTATTGTTCAGCTTTTTCAAAATGATGAGTAATATTTCATCCGGTAGGTCTAAAAACTTAACATCATATCGATCCATATTTCAACATAACAGTTATGCTTCTCATCAAAAAAATTGTCTAGATATATATGTCTGTTCTTTATTTACATGAACCAAACAGACTGACTTCATTCAACGTGAATTAAGAATCACGATTGACGTTGCCATTTAACAACTCTCGTCGATATAGAATAGAATAGAATAGACAATTTCATTGAAAAAGAAAGCGCAATGTCATCACTGTATCGTCGAATAAATTAGATTAATAGTCATTGGATATTGTTTTCTCACCGTCAATATCTCACATTTATACGGTCATAGAAAAAGGAAAGGTCATCATAATACGAGAAAGACAGAAAATTTTTTTTATATGAAAAAAGCGAATTAAATTGCTCTCGGATATATTTATTTCGTGGTTCATATTTTCTAAATTCAATAAATTCTGAATTTTCGGAAGGATATAATTTCATAAGGAGCCGAAAATCGAATAATTTTATTATTTAAATTCTAAGTTGTATACTGTCACTTTCTTATACTTAAGTATTTGATACACGAATCATCAACGTAGCTCAAAAGATTCAGGTTTAAACTATTCATCTTTCACGAAATCATTCAATCGTGTTAAAAACAAAGTTTTAGATTGAATTTAAGCAAAACAATTCAATATAAGTATGCTAAGAGGCACTCTTTTCCTTACATAATCTTGAATTATTTTATCAATATAAATTTTTTCCCCAATGATAGTAAAATATTCCTGAGGGTGTGGGTGCGATAAATAAGATACACCCACTCACACCCATATTCACCCATCTACAGGCGACATTCAATGTTAGTCACTACGATCTCCAGGACTATATCAGACACACTAAAAAATATTTTGTTCTTAACTTTGAATCGGTCCACCAGACATCTTACTTTTTCTATTACGATCTTCTGTATAACAGTATTTCCGAACATCCGTGATAACCGTCAGAAATAAAATTTATTTCCGAACTTCCGACATAAATCTCTGAAAAAGTTTCGTTTACGAACTCCTGCGATAAATTGCCACAAAAATTTTGATTCCGAACACCCGGTCATACTGTCAGATACTCGTAAAGGGTGGTACGAAACGTCATTCACCCAGGCTCTTATGCTGTATGACGACTATATTCCCGGAATTACATAAAATTGATTTCGAGCCGCAGCTGATTTCGTAATATTCAACACTTCGGTGTAGGATGACTGATCCTACATCACCACGCTCACCCACTTCCATACCCTCCAGATGGAGCCTTGAGCCTCTTTAAGATTTATCCTAATTCATAGGACCCACTTTTTTCCCTGAATATAAAATATTATCTTGGAAGAAAACTTCATTTTCTTACTCTTTCATTATCTAACATCTATAAAACTAAGCATGAGTATGAATCAAACTACTATCTTCTTCAGAAAATTATTCATCCAGTAGAGATGTTTTTCACAAAAATGAGCTGTCTACGGTGAGCATCACTCATCATCAATGATAAATCTAAGAACTTTATTTTATTTAACAGAAAAATGAACAAAGAGACATTGATCAATATCTTTTCTGTTTTAATAATATAGATTGGATAAAGATGAAAACATTCTGTTAAAAAAAATTAAACTTGTCTATATTATACAAAAGGAGAAAAAGATAAATATTCTGAAAATGGTCGGAGAGGTTCTGAACGAAGTACACAAAAACAAAATAAAACAAAAAAGAATTGAATACAGTATAAAATCATATATAGAGGCGGGCGCGTGAAAAAGATAAAAGATGAGAAGAAAAGCTGCGGATGGTTTGATGATGAATATAATACATATGAGCACAAACCAATGACGTACTTATGTCATGCCAAAATAAATTCTCATGCGCAATTGTTGACGTGCTTTTATATGTGTAGATAAATAATATATAAATGATCGATGAGAGAAAACTTATTTTGAACAGGCATTGCAATAACACGCTCATGAAACTAATCATCAATCATGTTTTGTTTTTTATTTCTTTAAGATTGGCTTCCATTTTTGAGTTCTTTCATATAAATATCGAAGAAAATCGACCTGACTAAAAACTCTTTGAAGATGGGTGTGGGTGTGGGTCTGAATATCTGGTTACATGAAAATCATATCAACAACCGCACCCACACCAAGATAGTTTTTTTATGGTCGAGAGTAGAAAACAATTAATAGATTTAATTTCAAGAAAATTTTCTTTTATTTTAATAAACTCATTAGTGAAAATGGAAAATTCTTATATTTATTTAATAAATAAAATCAAGTAAAGATTAATTATTGACTTTTAGATTCATTATGAACAATTATGATTAATAAATCATATTATAAAATCAAAGAATTTTTAAATCAAATAAAAGTAATGTCTACTTTTAAAATACTCTCGTAATATTTTCATCATAAATTAATCAGTTGTAATGAAAAAATTTTTAATCTCTCTCCTCTAGTAATATAAAATAAAATAAATGAGAAATACATAAAAACATTTCTTACTCAAATAATATCAATCAATTTCGAAGATTTTATGATAAAAAGAAAAATATTAATTCAATCAAAACTAAGAGTTTTTTAAAAACATATTGAAAGATGGATTAAAAATATCTTTTAAAAAATTAGATACGGAAATACGAATGAAATAGTATCTTGAAGTTCGATGAAAAAGAATATATAAAAGCATGAATCCACTCGAAAACCGTATAAGTACTAAGATAATGAATACTAATTCCAATAATTCTCAGAATTAGGGTCAGTGAATATTTTCATATCAATGCATCTATCTTTGTTTCAGTAAGTGATAATATATTGTTTCGATTTGAAAACATTTTGTTCTTGTTGAACGGCATAAAAGTTCAAAATATGATTTATAATTATATCTAAATTATTCTTGTACTTTTTTTTCTCTATATATTAAACACCTACGTGCATATTCTTTACTTATTCTAATCTTTCAAGATTGATGAATCTGGGGAAAACCTATGATTATTATTTTCTTAACATTATTAAAAATATTTTGATTTATTAAGTCAATAATAGATTCTAAATAATAAAAAGCACGTCTTTTTGTTTTCTCTCAAACTTTGTAATAAGTCTTCATTTATTAAGTTTATATAATGAATAATCATCAAATCGGCAAACATTTTTCTCCTATTTATGCATCTCCAATTTTATTTTTCTTCATTTTGATTCTAAGCCGGCTCAAGTAAGTGTTTGATATCAAAAACTCTTACACCTTCATAATATGATTCTCTAGATATAACATTGCCTTTAAATCTAAAATAGTGATACTTAATGTGACATATTCACATTTTAATTCTTAATAATCTACTTTTCAAAGATACGAATTAATTAAATACATTTCATATAACGAAAGAGTATGCTAATCTACATTGAGAGCTTCACATACTGGAAAACAAAAAAAAGTTCAGATAGGAATGCGTTTGAAAGTTTTGTATCGATCACCAGAACATGACTTGCCGCGCATTGAAGCGATTGACACCTGTGATTATATACTTCTCTAAATCTTTCTCTGCAATTTTACTCTAGTACTGTATTCACTTCCAGAGTGAGGATGCGAGTGAGAGTGTGGGTGTTGGCGTTGAATGAATAGAATACCCATACCCACCCTAATTACTATAAGTTTTTAGAAAAGATTTTCATGGCCTACCAGGAACTACTAAGAATTGCTAGGGACTACCATGGACAATAGCTCCGTTCTCGTCCACATCAACATAATGCGCCCTTCGAGGGTATAAAAGATTCGCCCACAAGCTCACACCCACCTACATCCTATCATATGAACTGAGGGCATTTTTTTTAATATGAAAATCTTTTGTTTCAAAGGTATAATGCAATCTTTGTTATTTCAGATAGTTTTCATGTAATGTCAAAGTAATTGTATTTTATAGAGAGAAATTCAATGTAGTGAAAGATTTTTTATATCATCTTTTTTCGAATTCGTTTTAGATTTAATTTCATAACATTGCAAAATTTTGACGAAGGTTTACGAATGGAGAAACAAAATAGAATACGTGTTTGTGATATAATTTATTGTATAAAAAACAGAAACTAACTCGTTTTTTGTCTTCTTTACTTTGTAGCCTCAGTCAGCTAACAGCGATATAGGTGAAACACCGCCTACACAATCAACGAGACCGTACGTGTATTGTGAGCTTGAATAAATTAAAAAGAAAATTATTTTAGATGTGTGTGCATTCGAAGTAAACTGACGTGGATCATATTTACTATTGTGATAATAGTGATCATTACTATTCCCACAGTCATTATTCTCACGAAAAAGGGACACGGTGTTGAAACAAATTTAACAACAATAACGATGACAACAGCAGAAGGGACAACAACATTGCTGTCAACAACAGCAAAATCATCAACAACAATAAAAAACCCAACAACAACAACAGCAGAACTAAGATCATCAACAACAACAACAACAACAGCAGAACCAGGATCAACAACAACAACAACAATAGAAGCAGGTATGTCTGTGTTTAAAGAGAGATAAAAAGAAGTTGATCAATGACTTACAATAACTTATAATCGACTATTTAATGAAAAAACATCAATCACATATTGTTAGTTGATTCTTTCTTGTCTAATCTGATTGAAATTCCAGATATTTCATTATTTTTTATCATTCTTTATAAGAAAGAATAAATATAAGAATCCTTTATTTTTATAAGCTAAAGAAATTTATTTTCTAGAAAATCCTGTTTTTTTCAGGTTTTTTCTATGTAACTTACAAAAAAAAGTCAAATCCCATATATACAAACAAAGTATTTGAAAAAGGTTGTGGGCGTTCCTTGTTGACCTATAGAGAACACCCGCACCGATATCTACACCCACCTTCAGAATGGACTTATGACTTGCATAGGAGGTTGATGAACATTTTTTCTTTTGAATTAACTATTCACTGTTTATAGTCTGTCAATCGGGTGCAACTGCTATTATATTTGATGATATTTCATCATCAGATCCTGTCGAAGCCGAACTTCCAACAAACTATGCAGGACTTAGCTGGACCAATGGATATTATATAAGTATAAATACTAATCCTGGCTCTGGCTATAGGTATGCTGTTGCCTCTGGTATATATGTAGGTTGGAGCAAAGGGCCTCTTATAATGCAAACAATATCGGCTAACTCCACAATGACATTTGTATCATGTGTAATGGCTGCCGGATGGTGGGATTCAATACAAATGACTATTACTGGTTATTATTCAAATACTCAATTTTACACAGCCACATACTCATTAAACACATATACACAAACTTCAGTTGTACTTAACTGGTCTGGGATTAATGAAATTATTTTTACACCATCTACATCCGGATATCCTGATTTTGGTATAGATAATTTATGTATTATATTTTGAAATTTAACTACAAAAATATGCTGGCAAATTTTGATGACTGTTATAAACTTATACATATATATATATCTGCAATTGTTCTTGTCTTGTATCTAATCAACAGAAAAGAGAAATACTTTTGCTTTTAATGTTTTAAAATAATAAAATCTATTCTCTTTCACAAATATAGAATTTTATTCGGTTAAATTCTTTTTTCATGGAAAACGTTTATGAGACAGTCAATACAAATTGTTTCTTTTTTCTTTATTTTCAATGCATAGTTGTTTCATTTCAATCTTATATATAAAGTATATTCATTATTTTCTTGAGCCTGTGGGTGTAGATTTGAGTGTGCGTGAGGGTGAGGGGTGTGTGTGAGGGTGTGGGGTGTGCGTGAGGGTGTGGGGTGTAGGTGTGGGTGATACTCTTCTCTTCAGCGACACCCACACTCACATCACACCCTGTTATATATGTTATAATTATATTTTATCCACATCCTCACATTGAGAAAAAATTTCGTTTTTCATACTTTGACTGTATTTTTATATTTTGTCGGTGTTCATCCATCATTTTCAGTTGAGTTTGGTCTCAAATAATATAGGAAAGACTTTTCTACAAACTGGTCTTTGTCAATAGCTATATAAATGACTTTTTATAAAATGCGTAGTTTAATTCACATGATCATTTTTATAATCGTCATAAAAACCTGATATTTCAAGCTCGTCGATGACGTATTAAAAAGAAAGATTGATGATTGTTTTTAAGAAAATATTTTTATTTAGAAAATAAATGTTCTTGAAATACAAAAAGAAAAATGATGGATGTTTTATAGTTATAGATTTGATAAATTTCTATGTCATATAACAAATAATGCTTTGGATGCAGTTTTGACATTGACTGATATTATTTAAAGAAAACCCACTCATATTGCATTCATCTTTATTAGATGAAAATATCTCGCAAATAGAAATGTCTTCACATCTTTTATAATTAATGACACTTCGATTTACTAATTCTAATTAAACCCAAAGATATGATATGATATGATAAATTCGAATAGTGTCATTGAAAATAGTTATCATATTATCAACATCAAGAATAATAGATATCTTCTTGTCGAAAAGATGAAGATAGTAGAATTGAATGAAAAACTTTTCTATGTTAATTTATACTGATTTTAAATGGAGACAAATGAAACAACTATTGCTAAAGAAAATGAAATAAATTAGTGTAACTATCCTAGTAGTATTTTTATTACTGATATAAGAAATTATTATGCTGTTGAAATAGAGATTAAATACAAGTTGTGATCTAACTATTGGTAATGGAAATAAAAAAGAACTTAAGGATGAAATATGAATGAGAATATAGTTATCAGCTAACAATAATATTCACAGCCACATCCCCGACAATAACAAGAGAAGAAATCTCTAGAAGACAGTGAAGATCAACATAGATAACGTCATAAAGAAAAAAAATTTACGTATATTATGACGTCATATCAGTACTAATAAAAAGAAATGTACACATCACAGCACCAAGTGACAATTCTTCTTATGTCTCAACCATCTTTACTTAGTAATAAATTAAATCATAGACGAATATTAATTTTATTTAGTATATAATAAATTCATTAAATATGCAATGTATTTACAATTTTTTGTGAAAGATTTTTTTATTAAATATTTTTCGAAATATATGTAAAGTAATTCAGAACTTATCAATCATTCGTTGCAAATGAAGATAAAACAGTTTTATTCTTTTCTTATATTTATTAAAATAAAACTCCTTTCACATCGATCATTTTTCTTAGCAATGATAGATGAATAACAAAGTTTATTACAAATTATTAAATATAAAATAAAACATGTTCATCGTTCATCATTTTTCTCGAATATAAATCTCTGGTAATTATACGTAGAAAAGTCACTCTTTTCTTTTTAGTCGCAGGTGAGAGTCATGAAATGATACGCAATTTAGTGAAACGTATATGGAAAAAATTTCTTGAATTGAATCTATACAAAAAACATTCAAGTAATGAACATACTCTTGCAAAAGAACTTCTTTCTACTCGTATTTATTTGATTGGATTAATTGTATGTTTATCTATTATTACTATTACTGTTGCGCTTATTGTTCGACCTGTTGACAAAATTGTATATAAACCTTCACATGAGAAGTTTTCACAATTAATTCGTAAGTATCCGAATACTCTTCGTTGTCCATGTTCAAAATCTTCAACAAACTATGCGAAATTCGTCACTACTAACGTTAGTTTTCATCAAGTTTGTTCAAGTGAATTTATTCAACAGACATGGATTGAGAAATTATTTACAAATGAAAATATTTCAATGAAATCTATCGATGATGCTCGCATTACTCTTAGTTTTTTTTGGCAAACAATTGCTGGTTTATGTATCGCAAGTAACAAAAGTTGGAGTGATGTTCTTGCAAATTTTGGAACCACAAGTCTAATAACTCCTACGGCAATTGCTGAAGAAATTATTCAAGCTAAAGCTGAAAACGCTCTTCAAAATCAAATGAACCTGTCGAGAACAATACCAACTCGTAATTTAGTTACTTTTCAACGTATGGCACGTGGAAATCAAGTTGTATCAGCTTTACAAACAAATTTCTATTTGCGTTATCCACCAGCACATTTGAGCTCATTGGAGTTTCCAAAAATGACAGCTCGAACATTTGGTAATTGCACTTGTTTAAATATTGAAGGTTGCCCACGATCTGCTACATTTAATGATAGTTATGGTCATTTAGTTAATGTACCAGGAATGATAGTAGATTGTTTAGTTGTTGATGGTACACTTGCCTCAACACTTGAATGTTATTATAATCAATCATGTATTTCAGTTTTACATGGACAATTATCGATGAATATTAAACCATTATCAAATACATCGAATAAAAAATTTTCTATGTATTCGACAGTACAATTAATCTTTAATAAATCAATGATAGATGAAACAATAACTGAAATTCGATTTGATAAATATTTTTCAGAATGTAATTGTCCTTTTTGCTCATATTCATATAGAAGACGTTTTGATATTTTTTTTATTTTCACGGCTGTTACTGGCTCTATTGGTATATTGTCATTCATTATACGACACATTGCATCTTTTGTTGCAACAAAGATTTTACGTCGAAAAAATCGAATTTTACCAATGGAAAATGTGTCAACTATAACGTCTATGGAACAGAATCGAAGTAAGTTGGAATAGACTTTTAGGAACCTGAGAGTGGCTGATAGTATAAGTCAGAGATAAAGTCGATCTGCAGTTTTGATAACCGATTAACCGATCGATATATTCATTTACAATTGACAGGAACCTTTTTTTACTATCGGCTACACGTTTCAAATCGGACCCAAACTAAATTCAAGCAGTCCATTCTATTTCTAAAAGTGAGTGAGGAGATGGATGTAAATCTGAGATTTAGCTTACATTCAAAACCATCCTGATACATAGCCGAATGGTTTGTGATTTACTGCATGTTTGATGACTCGAATCACATATCTCCTGTCAGTTCAATGATTTGTTCAAGATATTTAAACATAAGAATTATTGTACTTTGATAAAAGAATTTATCGCTCATTTTCTTTTTAGAGCAACGTATACAACTTCGCATTCAACTTTTATTAAATAAATTATGGCAAGCAATAATATCTTTAAATCTTTTTGAAAAACAAACACATCGTACACCTACTAATATTTATCGAGAACAACTCTTAACAAGATTTTTCATTTTGTTCATTGTTATTTTATCAATTGCTGCTGGAGTATATACTATTGTTGTAGAGGAAAATCAAGTGATAACAAAACTAGATCCATCTCTTGATACTTATAAACAATTGTATAATAATTATCCAACTACATTATATTGTCCTTGTTCAGAAATATCCATTCCTAATAACGTTTTTCTTAATGTAACATTTGTATTACATCAAGTCTGTTCAAGTGATCTGGTTTCATTAGAATGGTTACATTATCTAAGATCTTTCGATCCGATTCATCTGCCGCCCGATAGTGATCCTTTCTATGCTGTCTATGTTGAAGATTTTCGTAAAATGGGTGCTTCTTATTTTCAACTTTTAGCTGCTTTTTGTTCATTAGCTAAAACAAATATTGCAGATGCACAGCATGTATTTATGAATACTACATTTATTAATGATCGTGTTCCTTCTGAATCAAGTTTTACTGAGCAAACTGAAGCTATGATGACTTCATTTATTCGTACAACCAGCTATGATTTTATACAAACATTTAATTGGACGAAACTTATTTTTCTTCATAGTCCTCTTTACAATGGATTGAATACAAATGTTGTTATATATAAAATCAATGATGATCAAGTGTTTCCTTATTTTCATCTACATATTTTAGCAAGTTCCGTATTAGACGACTCTCTAAGTTATAAGGGCGACTGCACTTGTGGACCAGATCCTGCTACCTGCTATGCAATCCCTGCACTTTATGAGAATACATCATATGTTGGCAAGATTAATAGACATTTATTATTCGAAGTATTATATCTAGGTTGTTCACCTTTAAGTGGGTTTCTCATGTCACGAATGGGATGGTGGTACAATATCACATATATGGATTATATTCAAGCAACTTATTCGATGGTTATTGATACTCGACTTTCACCAAATATCAAACCGCTTAATGAATCTATATCGACTCGATTCGGTGATATCAATATGACGCATTTACTTGGTGAAATGCTACTCGAAAAAACAATCAATAATACACACTTCGATAGATTTTATAACTTTTATAACGCATGTAAACCTAGTTTTTGCTCATATACCGTTGTCCAACGTCGCGATTATATTGTGATAATATTTCTTCTTATTTCCATTTGCAGTGGTTTGAACCAAGGTCTTCGACTACTTGTTCCACTAATTGGCAAAATCATTTTTATTTGTTATGATTGGAAAAGAAATCGAAATACTCAACGTGGTAAGATATAGATAGAGTTCAATTTCAAAAAAATAAATTAATTGAAATTCTAATAACTATATAAATACATATCAGTTAGAACTGAAAGGATGTATTTCTTTTCAAAACTAATCAACTTTAAAATTCGATAAGAAACTGATTGAGAACTATTACAGTTACTTGTGCAATTTTCAAAGGATAGCGAAAAATTCCATCATGAATCTTTCTGTATTAATTACATTATTATTTTGTCTCTCACAATTGAGATACAATGATCTGATAGTAGAATATGAGTTTTTGACAGTGCTAGAATCACAGAAGTAAAATAAATACAGTTAACTACGCTCATCCACGAATATTTTTTTGAGGAAAGAATATTACTGAACAAGAAATCAGTTAAAAGAACCAAATTGAGAATGTTAGGCCAAGTTTGAAGATGGTTATGGATGAGTAACTGATGTGATTTTCATACTTCTCCTTCTCACACTATTCAGTCAGGAATGTTATGACTCACAGAACTAGCTTATTTGAAGTACTGTTTAAAATAAAAAACATATTAATTTGATTTCATATATAATTCATTCTAGGATCATCTTCAATTGGTGTTCGTTTCAAAAACTTTCCACATATTATCTATGATAAAATTAAAAATTTCAACATCTACGAAACAGAATCAACTGATAACACTCATATTCGTCAACAACAAATCTATACAAGAGTTTATCTATTTCTTTACATAATTTTACTCAGTATTGTACTGTTTTATACAATTCTGATCGAACGTCGTATTAGTAAAACACATGTCTTACATTCGATTGATGAATATGAAAAATTATTAAGCGTCTATTCAGATGATATCAGTTGTCCATGCACATATACATCAATTTCTTATGATGAATTTATCACTGAATTACAAGTCAATTCATTTCATGAAGTATGTGATATCAATCGGCTGCGCACAATGTTGACAAAGAGTAAGTACAAAGATTTAGCTTTCTTATTCGTCTTTCTGAAATTCAATCAATTAACTAAATAAATATTCAAGACTTTCGGATTGAAATACGATTTCGTATTTGATAAAGTTTCAACGAATCTAATTTGAATTATACTTGAATTGTAGATATTGATGATACGTAAAGAAAAGAAATTTCAAACAAATTCAAATAGGAGAAAACTTACAATTTTTCTAAAAATTTTCACATAGCCATGAAAAAAGCAAATTTGATTAGCTAAACTTTAAAAGACATTTTTTAAGAATATTTGAATAATTCTATTTACAGATGTACAAGCAGATACACTTCCACCTCGCCCCAATGATGATGAGTACTCACGTTGGGTGAATCCTTTCATAGAATCCTTGGAGCAACTTTGTTCTTTGGCACAAGACAATGTTAATAAGAATATTCACGTATTTCTTGCCTCAACTTTGTTTACTAATCAACTAATGTCTCGTACTCTATTTGACACTGAAATGGATGAGACACTAAGTCATTTCAAAAATAAAACAAAAACTACATTTGCGCATATGTTAGACTTTATTCGTTCAACTATCCAAGGAAATGCTTTATTATATATAAATGCAGACGCTTGGAGTTTAGTTGCAGTTGGAGCAATTGATATACACAATACTAATTTCCTCAGTGTACCTGTTACGCTTCACAATACACAAGAGAATACAAGTTGTTCATGTGTTACTTTACGAACATGTCGAATACCACGACTAAAACAGTATGAGGATGGTTTGTTTCCTTTTGATGGTTTAGTCATTGGTTGTCATCAACTTGAAACACTACTTTTCTCGTCTTTAGCTTGTTTTTATTCTCTAGAATGCACTAACTACCTTCGAGCTGTTATACCCGTAGGATCTTTGCTAACGGAATCGTTTCACGTATTAAATACATTAACGACACGATTCTCTGTAAATGACACTGTTGAAATGATAGCATATGAAATGTTTATCGAATCATGGTCCAATCATAGTATATCCTACGAAAGATATTTTAATAGTTGCTCTCCAACTTATTGTACTTATACATATTATCAAAAATCTGACCCATTAGAGATATTAACAACATTTTTGAGTGTATATGGTAGTTTATCAATTGTCGTTTACTTTATCGTACCTTATCTTGTTAAAATAATTAAAAAAATTTTAATTTGCTTTCGAATTACTCAACAACAATGATACATTTATTGAACATTAATTAGAACTATTTCAACAAGAGGATGTAATTGTTGACATTCATCTGCATACGAGAATGATTACATTATTCAAAAGTTTTGACCTGAAGAGGGTAATTGCTATACTACTCATATATAATTTTGAAGGTGATATAGGCTCTGAGATTGAAAACACAATGAAATGTTTTTAGTTAATTTTCCTACTAAAACAAGTTAACTAAGAATATTTAATTATCGCTACTAGTTACATAGCCTCAAAACTTATTCTACCTTCAAATTTATATGAGCACTACTCCTAGATTTCATCACTAAAAAGTACTCAGATGGTACTGAAAGCTCTAAATCTGCACTTTTCCTTGTTTTGTGTTCTCTTACATATAGCTACCGATAAATATATGATCAAAATTGTTGCTAAGCTTCTAAATCTATTGAGCATTCTTATATATTATATTTTACGAATTATGTGTTGTTTGCAAATTTTGCATTGTATATTTATGCTGCAGCTTTTGTGGTTTGTCTTTACTCTACTGATTTTATTAATAAATATTTTTGCTTTACCCAATAAAAATAACTGAGCTTGATATATTTCTAATTGATTTGACCAAGATTTATTATAAAATAAGCTTGATGAGGGCGGATTTGAATGTAAGTAACAGATAATTATAACATTTACACCAAGGGGGAAAAAGCGGATCCTGGTGGATCCTCATAAATGTTAGGATCCATAAGGATCCATGAGGATCCACTAGGATCTATTAGGATCCATTAGGATCTACTAAGATCCATAGGATCCATCAGGATCTTTTAGGATCCAAAAAATTCAGAGGATCCGGGGTTCCAGGATCCGCTTTTTCCCCCTTGATTTACACCCTCAAGAGTGAAATTTAGTAAGATAAGAAAATTAATTAAGTTTTAAAGCAATCTAGTATTTTTTTATTTAAATCAAAATCCGATTTGAAATCAGTAGATTGTTTTTGTTATAAAGCTAAATAATCAGAGACTCTAACAAGTTAGCATTTATTTTTCTCAATCATTTAGATTTGTATTAAATAAACTTACGATAAATAAATATTAAAATATTTTGATGAAGTGCATTAAATATACGATGGTAATCTTTTTTTGAAAAGAATACATACAAATTTAAAAAAAGCAAGATCGCTCATTGAAAAAAAGTAAGTCGATTTATGAACAATTTCTTGTATTCTTTTTTCTGTTATTAATAAAAACTATGTTTATTGAAATAAATTCTTATCAATATACTTTTCTTTATTTACAACTATTAGACATGATAGTGTATTTAATATCAAATGATAATTGAAATAAATCAAATTTGAGTATTGTACTATCTTATCACAAATAGAGAGAGAAAGAAATAGAAGCATCAATAATCTAGATGTATCAAAGCTTATATTTCTTTTTGTAGTTTTGTTTACACTAAAATCAATCGAATACAGAATTTCAAATGACAAAGGTTAGCTTTGTTTTAATAAAATACATAAAATAATTTCTTTTATTCAGAATCGAATTGGTCGTGAAAATCCTGCATTTGAGTTAGATCAACAACCGTACATAATAAATACTACAAATGGATCGATATTAACAACAAAATTACAATCGATAGAAGAAGAAGATGACGATGATGATGAAGATAAGAATAACGCAGCTTTTGAAAAACTACCTGACGAGGGTCATGTAAATGGTTTGTTTATATTAAAACTTCGAAAATTTATAATTCAAATAATTGAAAAGCAAAAAGTCAGTTTCTTTCGATTTATTTTGTATATTTTTTTTTATTCTAATGTTTAATAGACTGTAGTAATCTATGGATTGAAATTAATCTTTTTTATTGGTTTTCTTATTTTCTTTGGATTTGCTATGAGTGATAAATACGGTACACCTGCATTTCCTATTCGTGGCAATCTCTTTCGTGATAATTCAGGTATTCTTATGTAGACTATTAACTTTGATCATTCGTTCTGTTCAGGTTTTGCTTTTTTGTTTCTGATACTTTTCGCAATATTTATTATCGCATGGGAAAAATTTCTTAGACTGTCAATCGAATGTTTATATCAGTATATGTCACTATGAGGGGTCCACGAAAAATTAAAGTTATCATGGCTTACTTTTATACTATACAATTAAAGAATGATCTAGTCCCTTTAGTCCCTTTAGTCCCTTTAGTCCTTTTAGTCCCTTTAGTCCTTTTAGTCCCTT